TTTGTATTGTTTGTATATATATATATATATATATATATATTATTTTTTTTATTTTTTTTTTTAATTGAAAGGCAGAGATCTGTAATATATCAAAGATTGCTTTCAGTTGCCCATCCCTGATTTACAGCATGCTTTATTTTATATTCTGCGACCAATACCTCCACTAGAGGTCGATATAACACTGATACGGCGCAGAGTATCCTGACTATTTTTTTTCCTTTTTAGCACATCACTATAAAGCTTGAAGAATTATAAAAATAGAAATGTAATAAGGAATCTCAGCAGCATACAGTGACTAGGCATACTAGGAACAGACACCCACATTAAAGCTATAGGATATACTATAGAATTGGGAAAACTATAGGTTGGCACAGGGTTAACTTCTGGTTAATTACTGAATGCTCACATTAACGTAGCATCTGAATTTTGTCCTCTTGAGCCACTCTAATTCATTACAGATAGATATCTAAAATATGTTAATCAGCAATTAAAGATGGATCTAAAAAGTATTAATGTTCTTTAATAGAGATAGGAACCAGGTTTGGAAGTCTGATAAATGATGTTGCATAGCTAAAATCATTTATCATGTGTAATTATTTCCTTTTAATTAATCATTCATAGCAGCATTATAATTAACATACTTAGAGAAACCTACACACATATATAATAATAATAGAACAGAATTTGTTAATATACTAAAAAAGCAACTGGGAGAGCAAAAAACATCATACTGTAAATGATTAATATGAATCTTGTTTTTTATATTGTTGTTGCTTGCTACCATCTCAAAGCTATAGCTTTTTATTTCTATCATGAATTAACAAGATTTATAAAATATTTTGTGACATTTAATGTGTATGTCTTTATCTTTTGTTTGCACATAATTGGGTTAATATTATTTCCACTTGAGATATTCAACAAAAAAATAAAAACTGTGCCAACCAACCCACAAATGTGGAGCCCTGGGACCTGTTATTTTTACCAAGAATCTTCACTGCTTTCTTGACTGCTTTCTACTCATGCATGAGAGGAACAATGGCATAATAGAGGCTTATTTGCAGATAAATGGCTACTTTTCACTCAAGATATTACCACAATAGAAATTTTTTTTATTTTACTTTCATTAGTATGAGACAAACAAAATATAACAAAAAGCTGATACCAACAGCTAGAGTAAGGCAAATATGCTGACAGTAAAGATGATGAATGATGATGAATTATTTCTATTGATAGTAAAGTGATATTTCCTGTTTTCGGTCACACTGCGTGGGGTTCAGGGACAGGAAGCACCCACTTCCTCATTCAGGCAATGCAATACCACTCATTTATACTTTGTGTCTCTCTGTTGCAGTGAAGTAAAAACTAGATGGCAAAATTAATTAGCCCATTGTTCCCATTTATTCAAATATTTCATGTACAAATGATTGTAATTCCACAACCGTCTGTTTAACAATTATGAACATAATGTACTTGGACATAGTGCATAACATTACTATGTAGAGATTAGAGACATGTTCATCTTTGATGTCAGTATAGACTTGGTATTTCATCCGCATGTGAGAAAACCCCACACTAGTGTGACAAGTGAAGTGTGTAATTCGTGTGCCACTAGAGTGACCAAACGGAATTGCAAAAATAATTCCCAAACACTCATGTGCCACATGTGCAATTGGCGCCCCAAACTCACGGTCAGGATATCGGTGTCAAGCTGGTCAGGATGCTCAAACAAATAGAGCAATGATTTGATAGCGCCTCCGAGCCACAGTGGTTAAACTTTTCAGGGAAATCAACCAACAAATGGCTTTACTTATAGTTGGGACTGGAGAAAGCATTTTATCATCCCAAAAATTACACACTCCACCTTTGAAGGGATAGTTCACCCAAAAATGAAAATGTATGAAGAAGATGAGTATAAAAATCTCCTGTGTTATACAGGTGAAAAAAGCCAAATGGATTTGGAACAACATGAGGGTGCGTAAATAATGACTCTATCCCTTTAAGACAAGTCAAAATATAGTTCAGTATGTTTTCCCAGTAGTGTAGCATACATTTCTTTTAAAGCTAATAATTATGATTCTGGAAAAAGTGTAGCTAAATTCTGCTATACTGAAAGGTAATACACTATTGGTTTTGATAATTCATTAACCCTGAATATGTTCAAACAGTGGACAAATAGGACTTCAGTGTATCTTCTTATCCTCAAACAATTCCATGTTTGTAATGACATGCACTCAATCATACACATACTGATACTGACACACATACAATTTTGCTAAAAGGCAAGATAACCTCACTGCATCTGTGAGTAAAATCCAATGTCAGCTGCCTGCAGTACATTTTTTTGTCCTTCACAATAACAGACCTGCACTGAAAACACTCCATAATAGGACAAGAAAAGCCTGTGTCCACCTCCTTGTCACTGTTTCTGACATCCTCTTTCTGTCATTGTGCACAAAGGTTCAGAATACAAGCAGAATATCCAAGAACCTGAGAGTGTACAGCGCTCTGATATCTGTTCTGCATACATTCATACTGAACTAGTAACTGGTGATTAGATGTTTCCATTTTAACTAAATAAATGAGCAGAAGTCATTCGACCTCCTTAAAGAATCCTAGGATGTCAGTCAGATGTTATGTTCCAAAGCAGGTTCAGGAGGGGCAGCGATGGCTGCAGCGATGTAGTGGTTGTTATCCAGTCTCTCGCTCGGCTGGCTCTCAGGGGGAGGAGCCTCCTTGCAGCAGAAGTACTGCTTCCAGATCCTTTGGAACGCAGTACGAAATTTCTTGATGCGGAAAGCATAAACGATTGGGTTGACGGCAGAATTGCCATGCGTGAGCAGAATGGCAATATAAATGAGGAACATGGGCTTCTCACACTGTGGACAGAAGAGTGTGATGCAGTTCATAATGTGGAGAGGAAGCCAGCTAACAGCGAATAAGAAAAGGACTAGCGCCAGAGACTTCGCCAGCTTCAGCTCTTTGTCGTAATACTTGTTTGGTTCAGAATGGCTGCACACCTTCTTGTTCAGCTGCTTGTGGATCATGTAGAAGATTTCAGAGTAAATGATGAGCATGAAAAGCAGAGGGGGAAGCACCCAGCCAAAGAAGTTGAAGTAGACCATGTATTCCATGCTGATGACATTCTCAAACTGGCAGGTGACGATGAGGTCAGGGCCGATTGAGCTGTTATTACGTTGCAGGTTATGTAAATTGTTCCAGCCCAGCATGGGAGTCAAGCCGACTATGAAGGCCACTGTCCAACATGCGAAAACTGCAATTCCAGCTCGTTTGGGAGTGACCACACGCTTATAACTGCAACACAAAAATACACCAAGAGTGAAACAAGTTTTCATTGTAATTTTAATAAAAAAATGTAATCAATGTCTCGTGATATACTTTATTATTACTGCAATTTCAGCAATATTATAGCTCCAAAATGTACAATAAAAGAAAAAAACACGTATCTCCACAATATCCATTTTAAAAGCAAATAAAAGGCTAAATTCTGTATAACTGCTACCAGTACAGAATCATGGGCGCTTTACAAAGCACTTCTTGATGTCTTTGAATGACCAAGGCCAGCTGCTTTTACCTGCTGTCTAACTTAAATTAAGAGCTAAATTGTGACAATGTACCACCACCGAGAAAGCTTGTTTCAGTCTCAGTCTCAACCTTCAATAGAGTTGCATCTTCTTCGAGATGCTCTCTTTCATCTGAAATTCTAGGTCTCTCTCCAAACTCCTTGTCTTTTGTGTGAATGATATCAATATCAAGATTCAGTAGACGTTTTTTGCTAGAATCATTGCTGAATGTGCTTTTATTAACCACAATAATTGTTTTGTAATTTTTTTCTGAGAGTGTTCTGTATGTCCAAGAGAAGTGTTGTTTACTTTGTTTTTAAGTTGCTATGGGGTCATTCCGTGTCAAATCAACCAAATTTCAGAAACTTCCCCGTCTCAAATTTTTAGATTTTGCTAATATTTTTTCTGAAGAAAGATAAACATATATAGTGATGAAAGCTAAAATATTAAATGTCATGGATGAATATTTAGTAATCCACTATTTTGTAGAGGGGGTCAAAATGGCAATTTTCACCTGAGATTTGGAGATGCCAAAAGGAAAGTTTGTTAAGACCTGATATCTAAAAGGGAATTAATACATCTTTAATACCTCTGAGTTACAGGCATGTAAACTTTGGAGAAAAAAATTGAAAAGTGCTCTTTCCCCATTTTTGAACGGTCAACATTGGCATATAATGGAACAAAGATTGCAAAAGTCAACAGATTTTACTAACAGACCCTACCAATCTCTGTGTAAATGTAACATTATGATGCTGCCATCTTTCATTTTTAACCCCCTGTAATTTGGCTCTGAATCTCAGGTGAAAATTGCCATTTTGACCTCCCTCTACAAAATAGTAGATTACTAGATACAGAATTCACACAGATCTAGCACTGCTGTCAGTGATGCATACTCAGGATATATTAGATGATAGATTATTTATTCAGAAGATGATATACTGTATTCAAGTTTTCACTCAAATTATTATGCTGATAATATAATTTACAAAACTGCAGCGGTATCAGACTTTTGGACTCCACAGTTCAGTTTCTTGCGTCTTCATTTATTGTGCACAGTGGTTGATCCTGGCAGAGCCGACAGGCGGTGACTCAGAGCAGCAAATCTATACACTTCACTTCTCTATAGCTCATTCACAACAGTTTCATGGGATTGTGTTCACTCTCCAAAATAAATTGTTTTGTAGGAGGTAACTTTTTCCTTGCAGCACCCTGTGCTATCCACCTAATTTTTAACATAAGTGAAACTACAGCCATTTGTAGCTTAAATTTGCAAGGCTTTCTGTGTCAGTCGCTTCCAGTTATTTTACATGTACAAAAACAGTCTGTTTTGCTGCTTTATATTGCAATGCAAACTGGTATTTGTTACTATATTATTTTAATTTATTATTGTAATCATAAACATACTGGTTTGTAGTGCAGATAGTTTTACCATTTACTGCACTTCTTTATTCTTCTAATTATTTACCTATATTGGCTAATAATTCAGAAGTCTTGCACATTCAAAGAAAATAGCTTACTTCCATGTTGCAAAATTAGGTGGGTACTTACCTGTGCTGCTATGTGTCTCTTCAAAAAGGTGTTGAAAGGGGCCGATTTTACGTTGATTCTGTCATATAGTATTGGGCTGGCCATGGTAATCATTAATCATGCCAGCAAAATCACAATATTAAATGCAAAATAATAGAATGAATCTGGGATTTGAACACAGGACTCCCATGTTTGATGCATTAAAGTGAGAAAAGAGCACAGAACCCAGAAGTGGCTATACTGTCCACACAAAAAGCATCTTTAAAAATGGAATGGCTTTTACATAGCTGATGTTGAGTATGTTTAACTCCTCTGGGAACAAAGAGTAACCTTGGCATAGAGTCTGCAAATAGGATGTTGCTAGAACATAAAAGCAGATAGTGTATGCATGTTGTAGATGTTCAGATGGCTGGGACAGTGTATTGTTGTGATGAAGAGTTGGAACATGTTTCTGGAATGTTTTTTCTATGATCTCTCTCATGAAACTTGACATTAAGTGATACGCAGCAGACAGTTCAAGAAACAATAAAAAAGAAACTGCAACAAAAGAAGGATCAAAACAGAAAAAAATAAGCACATATACCATAGAACATAATACCTGTACTAAAAAAAAGTAAAATGAGAGCATGTTGTTCAGATCCATTGACCTAGTGCTTACTTAAAGACAAATTCTTTGTGCCATATGCTGTAAAATGTATGGAAAGCTCTGCAAATAATGCACATAGATGTGCATGAGTCATATTATGTTATTAGGTCATGTGCATGTAGTTTCTTCCATCTGTACCCCTTGATCATCATAAACCGAATGTTGCTTGAAAACAGACTGGCCAGACAGTGGCCATTATTATTACTATTATAAATTAACTTATTAATGGGTCAGCAGAACTTTGATTAATTGTAAAAATGACAATTTTTCCATAATGTAAATCTTTATGAGAGTGTGGGAAGTGGAACTTGCAGTACAGAATAGTACAAAATATTTATTCATCATTTTTATTGATATTTACACTATGTGTTCCCATGTATTCCCCTATTTATTATTTTGCTTTAAATGTTTTCAATCTCTGGCCCTCCAGGAATTGAGTTTGACACCCCTGGCTTAGAGGATAGAAAATACCATTAGCTCAGTATAAAAAATAATATATAAAGAATATGTAACATTCTCAAATGATAGAAAAACCTTAGTGTGTGTGTGTGTGTGTGTGTGTGACATATGAATAGCCTATATAGACTGTATGACAACATAATGCACAGTACCATATAATTAAAGGTGTATTTACTTATTCTTACAGCACAGGAACACCAGAGGGAATGAATGATACGTTTACCTGGTTGGGATCTTGACCCTCAGGTATCGGTCGATGGCTATAGCGAGCAAGGCGAGGATAGAACTTTGGGTCAAAACCAGCACCGTGCACGCCACCAGCAGACAGCTGTAGAAGTGAGTCTGGAGTCCGATACTTATAGTTATCGCCAACGGTATGACCAGCGCTCCTACTGCAATGTCCGCGAGCGCCAGAGAAACAATGAAGCAAAACGTAGTATCTCTCAGAGATCTATTAATTTTTACCGCCCAAACCACCATCACGTTTCCTATCACGGATGACACGGCGATCACCACCTCCATGCCCATGTAGAGGGCTTTGGCCGCAGAGAGATCTGCAAGCATTCTTCCACTCGACGGGAATCGATAATACGATGAATATCCACGCGACAATGGGTTTTCAAGTGAAAGTGATGTGTAAACTGTAGTAGTCCAGAGAAAAATCCTCCCATTAATGCGCTGCCCCTCAAAAGAGTAGCTGTATTCCACACATGCCTATTTACAGTTGGAAATGGACGAACGCGAGAAGAAACCCCACAAAGCCATAGAAGTGGCTTACAAAATATTCTGCTGAAAATATCGCTGGGTTTTGCGCGTTTTCTTTTCGTTTACTACAGCGCCTCTTCATTTGGTCCACCTGCGCTCGTGCGAGAGATGCGCGCGCCACTTATTCATCCCAAAATCGTTACAATACATTTCTCCGTGTCACCTACAACTGTCAGGCAGTTCTCTGGATGTCCAAAGCGTAGGAAAATAAATTAAAAGACGCACCATATTTGTTCCTGGATATCGTTCTGAACACTCTCGTGAGCTATGCGGTGCCCCGGAATAGCTGTCGATGGGTTACTCGCCCTGTTAGCAATTTAAAACACTTCTGGGAGCCAATTAAGTCCAACTAACCTGTGTAGATTTGCGTGTGTGTGTGTGAAAATGTCAAACCAGAAGGTCGTTCCGGAGAAAAAAAAGACCATCCCAAATACTGCGCCGTCTGTTTTGGTTCCCTCCTTGAGAATGGCTGAGGGACATCCTGCGTTCGCTACTTTCTTTTGTAGAGAGCCCGAACTAGTTTTCTCATCATTGTATTTGTCTTCAGTGAGAGTTTAACTTTGACGCTCGAGATAAAGAGAGAGGCTGACCGTGCCCCCCTGTATTTAGTGTAATATTAGTTTGCTCTAATAGATATGAGACAGCATTGAACCCGTGAGTGGAGGGGAGTAGGAGGTGACAGTGCCTGATGAGCAGTGACTAATTTAAACGCACAAAAGACCAAAGATATAAAATGTAATAAGAAATATATTTGCAACATTTCAACGAAACTAATAGGTTTAATAATCTACAATAAGCATAATGTGCCAGCTTGAGACATCACTTTATCTCACAAATGAAGCCAGGCAGCAAAACAAAATGATGTATATGGCACACTTTGCAAGGTCCTTTTGATGTTTAAGTTTTAAATAGAGGAGAGTTGTCCCTGTTTTTACTCCACTGAATATTTATCAGTTTAGGTTCATTTTTGAAAGTCAATTTTTGTATAAATTGTCACAATGGAACCTGCCATTAAATAGATTTTAACAAAATGTGAACATGCAAAAAAAAAACAAAAAGTATTGTTTATTTATTTGACCAACAGACAGTGTGTATCATAAAATTTATATTCATAAATTATATTTATTTTAAAAATACATTATTTATATAAAAATAAATTGTATAAAATTACAAATTCTAGAAATCATGTTAGTTGTGTTGGTATTGTAGATCAGTGACTGAGCCTTTGTCTGGCAGACAAAAATCTTGTATTTTTGAGGTGAATTATAATGAAGTCTTCCTCCTTCTGACATGTCCAGGTCAAAGCCCGCTCGGTGCTTTCAGTCATGGTCTCTCCAGCTTTTGAGTGTGAGCTCAGAGACAAAGCACACACCCCTCCATGCTATATGCAGGTGATTTAGCAAGCAGGAAAATTCATGGCATGAGAAAGCTGGCTGAACCGCAGTGCCTGCCTCATTTCCATAAGAGAAATTTCTGCACGATCCATCAAGGGCGGTGAATTCGTTCATGCACTTCACACAGAATTACGACATGAGATTTATCCTGCCGATTCTGAGCAAAGAGACGCCACATTCCTATATTCTAAAGTAATATTCTAGGAATACATGGGAATGGCTTCTATATAGCAGCCTACAGTTTTTGTTTTTTTTTGGGATGAAAAATATTTGTATATTCATACTGAAACAGTATTTGCAGCTGATCTTCATACAGATGAAACAATGCAAAACATAAATTAAGAAGATGGAACAATTTTTTTATGTATTTTAAAAATCAAGTAGCTTAACTAAAGAAGAAAAAGCACAAAAAAGTGAATTTGTTATGCTAGTGCTTCATGACATGGACTTATGTCTATGTGGGTTTCTTCAATTCTCCAATGTGCTCTAGGGCATTATATCAATAGTTAGATCAATACCCAGCTGTGCGGTAACTAATTATCCAACCATACCTGCAATAAAACTAATAACATTACTGAATGTGTTTTGTGGCCCTTTTTGTGAAGGAGCAGGTTCAATGTCCCTTGGAGTTGGAAAATCCAGCTGGTAAACATCTTTTTTTCCTAGTACTGACACTACTACTCTAACAAAACCACGGCGGAGCAGAACCACATCAGTGGATCTCACTCAAGGCAGGATAAAATAAATTAGCAATCAACAAACAATGGAACAAACAGACTTAGGATTCTCGGGATGATAAGGGTGATTGTTTTGTCTTACATGTCTGATTACAATAGAAAATCTGCCCTGCTCTTATCAAAGCTGTTCCACTATTTGTTGTTATAGATTTCAGGTCAAGAGGTCTTACATGAGGGGTGAGAGGTCACAGAATGAAACAGAAAGCCTAAATCATAATGTTATATATGGTGATGGACCTGATGGTGTTTGCTATCAAATAAAAAAAAAAATGGTGTAATTAATAGTGAAATTTACTTGCATTTTCGGTTAAAAATAGTTTCTACACCAATATTTTTTCCAGCATATAGTATATACAGTAATATTATTTTTATACAAATATAAATTATTATTATTATTATACTATGTTTTTTAATCTTTCATTTTATCTACTATATGTTTTGTCTTCTGCATTTGCTTGTATTTTGCAAATACTTTGCAATAAAACAATCATAAAATTGTGCTACAAAAAAAAGTTTGTGAACCTTTGTTAGTATCTAAAATGTCTGCATTATTTACTCGAATGTGGTCTGTTAAATGACAAGAAAGGACAAACACAATTTGCTTAAACTAATAACACCCAAACAATTGTAGTCCTTGTCAATACTGAACACATTGTCTAAACATTTACCTTACCAGTGACCAGCTTCTCGCAGGAAACAGTAAACACCTCCCAGACTGATGGTAAGATACACAATCCCAAAGAATGATGACTAGACAGCAATGACTAGAGAATCTGGCAGGTTTCTCAGGAATAAAACAGACTGTTTTAACATGCCATATGAAGCAGAAATCCGGGTTACATTTTACTCAACCTGACCACAGTCTTGGCTTGAATATTTCCCTGATTCACCTCGAATATCCCAAGCATTGCAAGAATCTCTTTTCCACCCTGAAGCGGTTTTGCACCCTAAGAAGGCATGGATTGAGTGTGGTCCCTGAAAAGAAATGTGATGCGGTAAGCAATTTTCGAACCGCAAGGCCATCCCTTTGAGACTCATTTGTGTAGATTTTAATGGCTGAACCATTTTGTGTCCAGCTCCTTATCATCCACATGCATGCCTAAAATCTCTGAGGTTCACGATCAAAATGCTTTGAGGGTGTGTTGTAGTAATTAAGCAGACAAAGAGATATGCAGCTCTTTGTGTGTTTCTCTCACTTGCAATCCTCCCCAAGAAACATTCGCTGTGTCCACAGTTTGAGAGTAGCACTTTACCAACAGCAGTATTTGCCTGTTCACCTTAATGACCCACTCAGAGTGTCCGCACTGCTGGGTTTTCTTTAGCAAACATCTGGGCTTTGCACAGCTGCAGTTGACATTATTATACTCATGCCAGCTGGTTCTATTTCAGTTTTCTTAGTCAAGACACCTTTTAAGACCTATTCACATCAACCATCCCCCATAATGTCTGTCTTTAAAAGCAACTATCAAGAGGGAATCATGTCATAATGGACTGACACTTAAATGTCACTAAGGAGCCCTGTACTTACACAGACACTAAATTCGTGTCATTAGGACAGGAAGAAACAAATGTGTTTGTGACCAAGTGATAGATACTATATGCATATTTTGGTTGTTCATGGTGTAATTTGCTTTATGGCTGTTCACTGGTCAGCATGATACCATTTTTAGACCCATTTTTAGTCAGATTTATCTAATATACAATATTTCATTCCGGTCCTCGAATCTGATATTCTGAGTGGCGTTCCAAAAAATGCCAATATAGAGAATGCCACTGAAACTTTTCTCAGTTTGTATCACTCCACCTGTCCATGTTTGCGAAGTGATACAAGTTTTATTAATCATTCTAACTTTAAGAAAATAGAGTCCACACAACTATAACAATATCGTTGGAATCGCAGAGTAATATTTTCCCAGGAGAAGAACAATAAAAACATTGACAATCAATCAGAATGCATCTGACTTTAAAAAGCTCAAGCTTTTTAAGTGGGAGACAACATAACAGCAGCGCATGCTGAACAAAATAAATAGAGCGTTATCTTGAGTTAGTGTTGACTAATAAAATTGTTGTTATAGTAAATGTTCTTGGTGTTAACAGGCATTTAGGTACATTGTTAGGCCAGTAGGTGTGCGACAAGTCTTTATGAATGAGTTGATTCATTCACTTAACCGATTTGTTCAAAAACACTGATTCATTCAGGAATAAAACAACAGTTTTTATACTGTAAGTGGGTCATGATTTTAATTTCTGGTTTAGTGAACTTGTATAAAAGTAATATCAAACTCTTAATCATGTTGTTTGTCTTACCGCGGCTGCCAATACTTGTGTCACGAAGTCCCTCATATTCTGCCGCAACAGCAGCATTCCTTCATGTGTGACTTTACATTCAGTTTAACTTGCTTATATTACGCATTTGAAAACTTGCCTATAAAGAGTAACTAACGTTGGCAATACTCCTAGATGGGGTATTTTCATATAGTGACTGATATTAAGAATCAGTATGATGATTTGACATATGGCAATGACTATAAATGATTGTTTAATTACACATTCCATTTTTCCGCTTTTGAAAGTGAAGCTTCTGTGAAGAGCATGACCTCTTGAAGAGCTGCCAACTCTCGTCTCCATTAGCCTGAATAGAGGAACTGCCAGATTCTTCTCTACGTAGAGCGAGAGCAGCTTGTCATCACACTCTTATAGTTTTAAAGACAGAAATATCAGCAGATGGTTCCTCAGCAAGACCGCTGGCAGTTAAAAAAAAAGAAAACACTGAATTTTTATTAAGCCTAAACAGTAGGAAAAATAAAAGTGTGCATGTTTTTGTAGAGAATATTTTTTTAAGTGCATTGTCAGAGTCTGCCTCAATGGGTGTTTAAAATATGTTGTTCTGTGTTTTTTTTTTTTGGATAAGTCCCATCTTTTTGAAGTTCTTTTTTAAAACTGTGAGGTAACCGCTGCTTATTTTCTACCTTATCACACTAGATGCAAAGCACATCTTGACTGTGTAAACTTCACATTCAAAGGGAGATTTCTGTTGTTGTTGTCAATGTTATTTATCATATTTTATTCATTTTGTGTATTTGAATCTATATTTGATT